GGAAAAAGCAAAGGTCGTGGTCGAGTTGCAGGCTAAAAAACTCAAAAATCAAAACAAAATCATCAATCAGTAAGTATTATGACAAGGAAAACAAAACATCAGACGCGCAGAAGCGGTCAGCGCGTCAAAAGAGTTGTTACCGTAATGTATCAAGTTACCTCTCTCTGTGATTTATTTTTCATTGAAATTATTTGGTTGTTTTCAATTAATTTTAGCGTACCTCTGCAATTTATTTTAGCATTGTCAGTTGTTTGCTTCATTGAATTAAACGGAGTTCGTCCGGTTACAAACAAAGCTATCTCGCACCACCTAACAAAACTTGCGAATGATCGTAGTAGAGGTACTAGTATCCATTGGACAAAAGATACACAAAAGTTTGTATCTCCCCGACCCAGTGCAATATATCCGGTAAGAATCAAAGCTCACGTGTCCCTTATTTGAGGGACCAGATTCTGCCGTAAATTCGGGATGGGATTTAGAAAAAAAATAAAATGGGACTTTTAAGGTGTATTTTGGCGTCATTTTCGGATATTTCAATCATTCCTGATGCCTAAAATAGAGTCTAAGTTTTACCGTAGTCATTGACGCCTATTCAAGAGTATGATGTTTATTGTGACTAGCGTGAATGGGTAAGCTTCGTTTCGACAATGAGCAGTTATATTATTCTTCACATGCTCAGTTTATTTTTTGAGAACAATTATTTAAAAATAAAATCTCTCAGTCAATCAAAAACTCGGATTCATGCCTTCAGGGAAAGTCATGTTTGGACGCTCATATCAATTTTGTTTTTCGTTCGGTGGGCTGATGCCTTCAGTGTAGCTTTTGCCTCTTCCGACATAGAAATCATCTGAATTTTCTTTCTACCTCTCTTTCTTTTCACACCACGCATAATGTAATGATAAAAATTAGGAAAAAACGCTGAGGAAATATAATGTTTGGTTGGCTAGCGAGCGAAAACTGATTTGAGAATAATTGCACATGCGCGTGAATTGAATGAACTATGACCCGTACAATCTCGATTTGCATATTGTCAATCAAAGGTCCTGTTATTTGGGTTACTCATGCAAATTACGCAATTGGACATAAACATTGCCACGTGTGAGTGTTTTTTTTATTTTTAACCAGAAAATAACAGCAATTTTAACGGTGTTCCAATAAAAATTCATTGGTCAAATTTTCACAGAATGTTCTTTATATAAAAATCTATATAAAAAACGAAAAAACTATTTTTGATTGAAATTCACAAATAAACTGCATCTCTACCTTAAGTAACTATTAAAAATAGCTAGATGTTTCGAGAAATGGCTCTTTATCAACAGCATAGAAGTAAATATTTAAACGTATAGGTAGAACATAATTATTGCAAACCATTATTCAGCTTCATTTTATGAACAAGACAAAAGTTGGCCTTCACAGTCAAAGTGATAAAAACAAAATGTTATTGGATAACTATATTTTCATGCAGACAACCATGTTTTTTTTTTTTTATTTTAACCACCTGACTCAGCGCCATAGTTGGGGCACCACATGTTACAACGCATATAAATTACAAAACTGCACCGAAAACATACCTGTCTCTACGACACTTTGATATGAGAGTAGAAAGATCACCCCCTTCACAGTGCTCCATTATCAGGTAAATGGTTGTGTTACTTTTGTCAAGTATTCTGTCAAAATATCTGACAATGTATTTGTGTTTTAGTTCTCTGAGAAGATTCACTTCAGACACCAGCATCTGCTTTTCAGATTCGGTCATCTTGCCATAATCCATTTCTTTCCACACCAACACCTGACGGGAGAAGACGAATAGATTTTGAAAATGTATCATATTCACGAATATATAGAATACAGAATCAATTAGGACAAGCAAGTGACCACAAAAGTTTCTAAAACCATCTGTGAAAGAAGCATGTTGGTTCATGGGCCCATATGTCATTTCCCATTATTGATTAAATAAGGAACAAATACTAGAAACAAAAGAGAATATCTAAAGTGTATACAACAGAGACAATAAGGATAGTCTTGTGGTCAGGCTGCAACTTGAAGACCTTGGCTTTTAACAATTGATCTTCTTTGTTCACAGACTTCCTCCTCCAGTGTAACACCAATTCAAGTAGTTACTCGCATCTGTTACACTGATTTGTTGACAGTATCAAAACTGTTAGCACCTTGTTTTCATCACTGCTTATGACATGCAAATCACCCTCATGCATCACAGACAGCTATTTTTCATTGTCTCAGCTTTCTAATGAAATCCAGCACTGGCTGAACTTGGAAAAATCTAAACTGATTGTTGTATTATAGAATATGAATCACTGATTTACAAGGAGCAGAGATCTCTCTCAATTAGAAATTCAATTACAATTACAAGACATTGAGGCAGTATATGTTAAATTCTGAAAACTATATTCAAGTAAGTTGTGTATGATATGATAAAAGCAAAGGTTCATCCAATAAGGAATTATAAATACATTACTTCGGTTAGAATTAAAATCATAAAATTCCACATCTATTATTTAGCACGGCAATAAAAACATGATATATATATTAACATAAGAAATACTATATCTCCATGGAAACACTAAAATGGAAGCATTCATCCGACATCATGTAAATATGTGTTGAGTTCAAGTTACAAGTAAGGGTTTTCGAAGCAGTATTTTAATATAGATGGAATTCACAATTTAAAAGATTTTTAAATTTGTAAATTGCAGTTGACAGTTAGCTGTTGACTTTAATGTTAGTGGAATATTCTTATTACATGGTCTTCACTATGTCAAGGACATTAATTATGAAAACTAACCAACCAACAAATGGCAAAAATAATGATATCAGTAGATTGTTTTTACATAGAAAATTATTAATAAATATCAAACAAAATACTCGTGATGGACTTATATTGATTATTTTACAAATAAATGCATGTACTTGTATGTGGTAACGGGAACACGCATGAAGCCCATGAAGTTTCACTGTTAGAGCGTGTTGAGACGAAACATTTGCAAAACAACACAACAACACCCACAATATACAATGTCAGGTCATGGAGGTCAACCTACCTTTCCGTCGCTTTTCCGGCGTATTTTCTTGCATTTTCCGTAAGATCCAGATCCTATGGTATATAGGACTTCGTAATCTTCCAACTTGGCTGGCATTTTGTCACAGGCAATATCAGTTTGTATAAATACGTCTAAAACTGTAGAATGGAAGAAAGGATCTGTTTACGTTGACTCGATCGATTCTAAAGTTGTAAAAAACAAGACCTCACACACAACTTAGGTCTTATTTTCAGCAGTAACGGAGCTTCAAATATTTACAGTTCGTCGGAATGAACTAAAAATACTAGCCGCTATGATGGGTAGATATTCAACGCAATCACTATCATTCACAACTCAAAAGACCAAACTCACCGACACGTCTGGTGTGGACTTGTACAGTTTTAAAATTCCTTCCAAAACGATATCCGTTGATTGGCTGGCTGTAATAGAACCCGGTAGCTGATTGGTTTATGCCGCCTTATTAAAGAACGCTGGGAAATTGTGTGACGTCATTTTCCAAGATGGACGCCATAGTACATGAAACGGTGGGTAAATAAATGAGACAACTTTTAATTTAGTTATGTGGTAAAAGTAGCGTTGCCCTCGGTTGTCTATTACCATAGCAACACCTAATGTTATTATCAATACGTATCTTTGTTAGAAACGATATAAGTTTTCAGGAACATAGTACGACCACACAGACTACTGGGTAGTGGGCACTTCAACCCATAGCCTGAGTACAGTCCTGTAGGTGTCGGTCGAATTCAGAATGGGGAAGTAGGTAATTAGAGACCTTCCCAATATAATACTATGTATTTTTTGGTGGAAAAAACATCATTTAAAGGAGTCATTAACATTATGGTCTAAATCAAGAGGTAGATGTGCTCAAAGGTGCGCAACTTTCATAAACATTTAGCTCCCTGTAGTGATAGTACCTGATATTTTAGACAGGCACTCCAAATTTAAACAGGTACAAAATTCATTTGACATGGTAAATGTATGATTGAAAATTTACCATAAATTCCATAATAGCCATACATAATCAACAAAAAATGTACAAAATATTGGTTGTTACAGACTAGGACTGCTAACTTTTATTTCACTAAAGCTTTCAGATAATCGCTTCATTTTCTGTATAAAACACTGATGGCCATGTATATTGATGTATAATTAAAGTCTCATGGAAATGATTGATGGAAAATCACACTTGAAATTGCATACATACTGTGTTAGTGCTGACTCCTTATAATCATTAGCCACTATGTTGACTAGCATGTTATGTTATTAGCCACACAAAGTTACTATTAGCCACATACAAGTTGTAATACTTGAATTCATTAAAAAATTATGTATTTTAAAAGTCCCTCATTATATTTGTTCACTGCTTTGTGGTGAATATTATTTCCTTACATCATGCCTTTTTCTATCAGGTTGCATGATAATGTGATTTCGGATTTTTAGTTCACATAATCACATTAGCCATGTTATAGTACATATTATGAATTTTGTCAATCAACTATTTTCCATGTATTCCACTACGTTATGGGTATGTGTAGTTTTACATTATCATTTCATTTATTCATACAGCAAGATGGTTCATTATGTGCACAGCATTGCTTGAATGCTTTACTACAGGGTGAGTTGATTATAAATGTGTTCTAACTTGAGTAGTAATTGAGTAGTTTTGTACAATATCACACCATGGAATTCTATGTTATAATTCCTTTCGATAATTTTAGCTCAGACTCGCCCCTTCCCCTGGAGCTTGAGATTCGATAGTATTGTTTCAATTTCACAGGAGAGTACTTCACTGCTGTTGATCTTTCAATGCTGGCTAGAGATCTTGATGAAGAAGAAAGAAAGAGAATGGCTGAAGGTGACTTACAATCTGCTGAATATCTGAAGTTTCTTGAGGTAATTGATTTGAAAAGGACATTGATTCTTTTCAATGAACAATATTATGAACTATGCTGTTGACTTCGTCGAGCACAGAGCTATGGTAATACTTTTTTTTACTTTTTCAACTTCTTGTTGCAAACCGCAAGTGTGATTGCTTTGACCCTTTGTATATATGTACTTTGGCCATTTTTAGAATTGTTTATTTCGTGATGATATCTTTAATTCTAAAATTTTGGTAAAAAAAGTGATATTTTTGACTTTTTATTGAAATATTATTATTATTTTATTGTGAAATAAATGCATTAGCTTATTTACGTTAATTTAATTTACAATCTAAATATAATCTGAACAGCTTGTGGGTTTTATAATTTCCAATTCTAAGCTATGCTCTTGTAAATTAATGTCGATCATTTAAAGAAATTGATTATACCACTCTCTAGTTGATAAGACATACTGGTTCAGCTATAAGTCTCATGCAAAGATCTTGACATGACAAGAACAGCCTCTATTGCTGGAAAGCAAAGACGCAGCTTGGCTTGTTTGTATATTTTGTCACAGCACTAATGACATACAAAGAAAAGGACTGTTTTCGGAAATTTTACCTGACATATTTTTATTCCAGCAACCCTCAGGTAACATGGATGATAGTGGGTTCTTCTCTGTGCAAGTCATCAGTAGTGCATTATCAGTATGGGGACTTGATCTTGTACCATTTGGTAGTGAGGCTGCCACAGTGGCTACAGTTGATCCAACGTAAGTATTTTAGTGATAAAATTAAAACTAGAATGATCAAATTGATGGGATATGTCCATAATGTTATGATATACCGGTATTGTAAAATGACTAATTTTCACTGGGTTTAAATTTCACTGATTTAGCATTTCGGGCATGTTCAGTGGGTTTTAAATTCACGATTTTATCATTTAGATAATGTGTTCTATGCTCAATTTTACATATTCACTGGTTTTTATTTCAGCACATTTTCCAGCCAGTGAAATAGGCAAAATTAAAACCTAGTGAATGACAAATGTCATGTGACTCAAAATCATGCACATTCTCAGTCTGTGCATTTTTTTCATAGGACAGAAATAGCTTTTATTTGTAATTACAAAGAACACTGGTTTACAGTTCGCAAACTAGGGCGTCAGTGGTTCAACCTGAATTCACTACTCACGGGACCAGAACTAGTATCGGATACATATCTTTCAATGTTTCTTGCGCAGTTACGACAAGAGGGTAAGTAACGTTGTCGGCCAGATTTACAATTATGATCATCGTTATTTCTTTGCTGTTGTACTTACAGTAGTTTAACTTTAAAAATATTGTCTATCCAATGTATCTGCAATGATTGCAAACAATACATGTATTTGCATACAACTGTACTATTTCTATAGTTTGAAATATCAGCATATGATTCTGTTTAGTATTCAGTCTTCGAAAAGGTCATTATCTTTTAATTAATTGAATGAAGAGAACAAATAGTCAGTGTTTGAGGTGCTCTCATCTCTCGCTTCTCTCTCTGCAACATCAGTACACTTATTCATTCCTGATATACATACACATACAGTGTTCTCAAAAGAGAAGCATCATGACACATGTATGAATTGATTAGTTTATCTTGTTGATTTAATTTTTTATTTCCTTAAATCCAAAGATCCTTGCAGTTTTTTTAGGAGAACATTGATGTACTTAATAATTTTACTATCCACATGGTTCAGTTTAGTGATAAAAGTAGAAAATTGCAAACCATTTTAGAAACACACTAACTGACTATCTGTTCAATTTTTTTAGCAGGGAATTTTACATGAACACACATACATATATTGTTTTATTTTTCATTCATATAACAGGCTACTCTATATTTGTGGTTAAGGGACAGCTTCCTGAATGCGAAGCCAATGAAGTACTGCAAATAATAGAAGCCGTGCAGACACAGAGACCAAAACTACTCAGCGAACTTCAAAAACAAAACAAGAGTGCAAACGATGGTGCTAGTACATCAAAACAACATGTCAACTTAGACGATTTACAAAAAGCTTTAAAAGCCAGTGGGCAATGTTTCGAGTCTGATCAAGAGGAAGAAGACAGATTGCAGGAAGCTATTAGGCTCAGCATGCAAGGTGAGAATGTTGCATGGGATACAGTCTACCGTAATAAATGTGGATAATCATTGCCATGGTTGTAGTGTTTTTATACTCTACTTGATCAGTGGAATCAATTTTTGAGGTAAAAAATCCCTTGATATGGGTACAAGTTAGCAATCTTCTCATATTAGGATTGTTATCTTTGACAGGCTGTGATGGTGGCAGTGCAAGTTCATCTCAAGCGGTTGACTTAGACGAAGTAAGGCAAAAGAGACAGGCATATTTTGACAGGTAAGGGCCATTAGCGAAATTTGTTTGAATGAGTGTATATGGAGTATATATTAATTAAGATTGACATTTATAATGTCTCTAAGAGCAATATTCCACATCCACTTTAGCCCTTGCATAATACTGTGTTGTGTCTGCTCCTTCATGTCCCATGTTACACATTTTTTGCTGCAAGCCTATAGAGATGAATGGATGAACCCAATGTCAGCTGGCCATGTGTTACAGCAAGTCTCACAAGTATTGGGGCAAGGAGTTAGAAAACTTGTTCACTAATTCACTGACAATCACAAATAAGTTTGGTTTCTTTAAAATGGTATATTTGTCACAATACATTGCATTTTAAGCTTTGTCACACTTTGGTGACCCTGGTGTACACTTTAATGCTAAATTGTACAGTTTGATTTTGTTCTCTCAACCAACACATGGTAATAGTTTAACAATAAACATTTTCATTACATTTCCTGTTGTTGTTTTTTTTAAAAAGATCGGATATTGAATCATTTACACATAATTGCTATACTAGTTGAATGATGGCATGCTACATTTCATTTTAATGTACATGATATCGTTGAAAAAAAATGAATTTCTTTGCATGCTGGTTAACAAAACTTTTATTTCACAGACATCGACTAGAAGGGGAACAATGCCAAGAGACACAGCTAAATTGTGGGAGTCCAGAACTTGAAATTAATGACAATGACAAAATTACATCATTTACTCAGTCGGATGACGAATTGGAACAAATGTCTACTCAGGAACTTGAAACCACAGCCATTGAAGGAACTAAAAAAACTGTTTCTGACTTGACAGAGGAAGAAATGTTAAAGATTGCTATGGACCTTTCTATGAATGCCGAGGATACAGAGTGAAATGAATGTATATCCTAAAAATCTTGCCACTACCCTTACCCCCACCCTCTATGCAAAATACAATGTAGTAAAAAAAAATGATAAAGTCATCTGAACCATTTGTGTCCTTATTTAGGAGTATCTTTATTGACTTATAATGATCACCTGGGCTTATCAAGATAAAACTGTTTTGCTTTAAATATACATTGCTTCCAGGAATAACTATTTTCATCAAGTTGAAACAAGATGTTACATACATTTTCACAAACAGTTACCAGTACCCACCTAGTATCAAAACTAATCATGTATTATTTGTTCACAAAAATTAATACATATCTAGTCTGTTGCTGAAACTCATCATCATACTTAATTCTACATTTCAACTGGGGAGGCGCCACATAAGTCTACATTTTGATAAGAATGTAGGGTAAAAACTCGCAGAATATTAACATTCACAAAATGCTGAATAGGAGTGACTTTACCATGGAATCTACAGGCATGTTTGATTTTTTTGTCACTAACAACTATTGGGGGGGGGGGGGTTAATAACAAAACTTGTTTACGTCAAACTGGGATTGTGTTTCTGTACACCTGAAACGTACTCTTAATTTTTGGTGTCCAAGGAAAGAATAAATTTATGTGGCTAAAATTTTAGCATATCCACTGTATTACTTTGCTTGAATGACAATTAATTTACAAAGAATGAAAACATGTTTTCATTTGCCTCAAGTCGTCAAATAGTTTTGTACAATTAAGATGCATTGTGTATATATATATATATTTTAAAAACAATGAGGCTTCCCATGCTTGTACATGTTAATTTTTAAAATAAATTGAAACAATTGCAATTTATTGTGTTATGTGAAGTAAATTGACCAAGTAATCAGTGTCAAATTCTGTTCTGGGTACTATGCACTCAATAAACCTAGGAAGTTATCTTCAATGTTCGTTTGTATGCAGTGGCAACAAGGTAAAAAAACATTGAAATAATAAATTGAAATCTGCTATGCACAAAAATTTTCAGCTGGTATCACAAGTACTGCAACAGCTGCATTTGGTCATGAGCTAATACCGGGTACATCTATTGATTTTGAATAGCTCAATGTACACATTTGTTAGTTTGGTACTACCGATATATTCTGCAATGTCCAGGTAACTCGAGCCACAGTCGGTACAGCAGGAAAGTTGTACATAGACAACTGTTTTGCAATATGATTCAAAATAGTATCCCCCCCCCAAAGCACATGGCTGTGGTACAAAAGCAACATTACATGTCAGTGATAGAATCAAGTTTTATTCATTCACAAGAGAACAGACCTTGTTGGCAAGAAAGTACATTTTGGAGTAATCAACTTGTCTACTTGCATTGCTTTGGAAATAAGAGGTAGGTAACTTGTCCATGGACCAATATGGTACCAGATATGAACAGAAATATACAGTAATTTAAATACAATACTTTATGATAAAAAGAAACATATATATATATATATATATACAATAAAAAAAAAAAAAAACAAGGAATGTGAGCTCAATCCGTTGTCAGAAATATTTTAATAACTTGATAATAAATAAATTGTTCACATTTAGAGAGTTACAGTAAGAAACTATTTTCAGTGACAGTTGCCAATACATTTAAAACAAATTTTACTTTTGCATGCATTGCGAGTGTGACCTATTTTGTGACCTATATTGAATTTAATGCAGAGTACTGACTGACACGCTCCTGTTAAATAAATTCTACTTCATAACTTCGCGTTTGCTCCATTAAAAACACAGGGACTCCTAAAAATTCCCAATAAAAAGTTTAATGTACTTAAAATTCTCACAAATAAGTCTTCATACCTGCCTTGTACATGCATTTATGTAATGAATGAATGCACCTAATATGGCAAATTTTAAGGTCTTGTTCTGAGAGTAATGGAACTGTCCAATTTAAATAGAAATAATTGTCAAAACTGCACATGTGCATTCTCCTGTTAATCTATTGACATTGTGTACACTACTCATTATACGCAGTTCAAAACATTGGCCACGGTCATCACACAGGACTTTCAACTATGACCATGTACAACACAACAATTGTTTGAATTTACTGAATATGCAACTGGCTTTTCACAGACCTTGAAGAAAATGGCTGCTAGCAATATGTAAACGGTTGTTATGCAAGTCCTCTCTGTACATGTTGAATTCTGACAACAATGTCGCTTTAACCTTTGAACATTGCAGTGAAGTATTTTGCAAATTATTATTATGTATATTTCTATAATAATTTGTCATAAGCAGCAACTCTTGATCAACATATATGCGTTTCTTTTCTCAGAGACAAAATTAAACTTAAGGATTAAGTAGATCTAACATGTTAAATTATATATTAACTTAGAATCGATAACAGAAACCAAACTGCGATTCATTCAGTACCGGTACTAGCACATTCAAAGTGGTCTCATTTGTGAAATATACATCCACAACACAGTGCCATTCAAATTTTACTGCATGCATTAAGATTAGCAATTATGTAATGTTACATAATCATAAATGCTACAAAAAATAACAAACACACATGTCTCGTAAATCTTTGGCATATGGGGTCATATCAGTAAATAAAAGTGAAGTAAACGTTATACTGCAGATAACTTCCCATGCATGATATCCTGGATATGCACAAAACTGACCACGTAGACCACGTGCATTGATGGATGTTGCACAAAGTTTTTTTCAGCACAACCACAGGAAAGTCACCAAGCCACCTCAACACATCGTCTGCTGGTGGTCAAAAGGTAACTTAAAATAAGAAAAAGAAACGTTGATAGACACTTTTCATAATTTAGGTGCCCTCACAATTTCCTGTGTAAGAAAACTTTGAAAGAACTTGTTTTGTGTATGCACAAACATAGATAAAGTTAAGAAACACTTTAAAATTCTTGTTTTTTTTTTAATTTAACCCATCTGTGTTAAATTATGATGTCCATTTATTAAAGCAGTTTTCCATGGTGTATCTCAGAAAATTGGAATGAATGTGAAAATAATTTTATTTCTGAACTACGTTGCCTGGCTACAAATGCATTGTAAAATGTTTTATGCAATTAGTTTTTGAAGTTAGTGTGTTTGTGTTAGAAAAAAAAAAAACTTATTTTCTTACATTGATAAATATCTTTGCACATTGGCAGATTGGTAGTTGTTGCTTTCTATACGGATAAAAGTGAGAAAAACCAAATAGAAGAGCAAAAATAATTTATTATGTGGTATATTATATAAGCACTATATACCAATAAAGGACAGTATTATTTTTGATTTTTTAAATCTTGAGGTACTTCACTATATTATTCCATGGAGGAATTTCACCTCATCAGAAAATAGTGTCAATAAGCTTGGGAATTCCTTTATGGGAAAAGTACTGCTCTGAGGCTGGGGAGCATGCATCACGGGCTTATACAAAGAAGTCATAACCAACCAAGGCACGTTTATTTGTAGTTACTGTCTTGATAAGAAGGCAGTAACTTGCCATCCAATCAGGCCAATGAAAAGAGATCCAAACACGTGCAGAGATGGAGTAAGACGCAATTGATGCAGAATTCTAGACCTCCACTCTCGGATCAGATGGCTGACCTTTCGCTATCATTGCATCCTCTTCTTTCCATTTAGGTTTCTCAGTTCTTGTGTGCCAAACCAATACCTGTGGGAAAACAAATCAGCATTTTTTTCATAATGAAACCAAAGAAAAAAAATTAACATCTACCAAATAAGTCTTCATAATTGTGAAAGGAAAGTTTATTTTAGCAAGTCACTGCTAAAGCGATAAATATTGATTGCCATTGAATAAAGAATACAATTTTTTAATAGATTTAGATCACATTACAATTCTAGTGTGAACATGGCAAGCATCTGTCATGTATATGGACCAAACCAGCACCCAGCCAGTGTGAACATGGCAAGTACCTGTCATGTATATGGACCAAACCAGCACCCAGCCAGTGTGAACATGGCAAGTACCTGTCATGTATATGGACCAAACCAGCACCCAGCCTGTGTGAACATGGCAGGCACCTGTCATGTATATGGACCAAACCAACACACAGTCAGTGTGAACATGGCAAGCACCTGTCATGTATATGGACCAAACCAGCACCCAGCAAGTGTGAACATGGCAAGTACCTGTCATGTATATGGACCAAACCAGCACCCAGCCTGTGTGAACATGGCAAGCACCTGTCATGTATATGGACCAAACCAGCACAGTCAGTGTGAACATGGCAAGCACCTGTCATGTATATGGACCAAACCAGCACCCAGCCAGTGTGAACATGGCAAACACCTGTCATGTATATGGACCAAACCAGCATCCAGCCAGTGTGAACATGGCAAGTACCTGTCATGTATATGGACCAAACCAGCACACAGCCTGTGTGAACATGGCAAGCACCTGTCATGTATATGAACCAAACCAGCTCCCAGCCAGTGTGAACATGGCAAGCACACATCATGTATATGGACCAAACCAGCATTCAGCCAGTGTGAACATGGCAAGCACACATCATGTATATGGACCAAACCAGCACCCAGCCAGTGTAAACATGTCAAGCACCTGTCATGTATATGGACCAAACCAA